TGCTTGGAGGCGTCGTCCTTTGCAGATGACCTCGAGCACGAGAGGCGGCGTTGCTCGGAGTACCCAAAAATAGTTTCATTAATGGGGTCATAGGGTACATCCCAATAATCCGTACACACCTTTTCGTTGCTATCTGCTCCTGAGCTAGCAGCTGGCCAAGGCTGCTTGGAGAACGGCTCTTCTCCAGGGCCCGGAGTTTCCCTGACGACTGTGCGTGTCGTTGATGCCGAAGAACTGGAGCATCCGTTGAAGGGGTTCGGGGTTTTTTGCAGCTTCTTGTAGACCCCCAGCTTCCTCTTGAGCTGCTTCAGCTCCACCGACGTCTTCCTGGGGAGCGGGTAGTCGTTGTGGGCTGGTGTCGGGAGGGACGTTGACTCCGTGGAAAGGTCGGCTTCTTTCCACACTCCTTAATTTGGTCCCCAAGTTGTCCGGTACCGGTATAATCTCCACAGCTTTCTGCTTCTTTTGGAGTCCCTCCCGTATTTTCTCCAAGGCTCTAGCCCCTCGAAAATCATAAGTTTTCATTAAAGCTCTTTATAGGATAGCTTTAACGAATTCTTATAATTTCTTGGGTCTTCAAGGAGTTTCCCCGTCTCGGCAGAGTCTTTTTTCGCGGAGTCTGATTTTTCCTCGGCGATTTTCCCTGGCGAAGACTGGTCGTGAGGTGGAGATTTTCCCCATCATTTCCTCCTTCTCGCGTCGAATCAGCTTCGTCGAAGTTGATTTTCCCGGAATCCCGCGGCCGCTTTCGGATCTTTTTATTTTCGCCAGCTAGATCCGCAATCACTGGCGACTCCCATTTTTTGGCTTCTGATTGGCCGGAAAGATTTCCGCCACTGTTGCGTGCCCGATACTCTGCGCGTGCGGCCTTCATTTTGTTGCAGTCGAAGATTCGGTGGCCCGGCACCCGCAAAAATCACACGTGTAATTGGTGTTTTTTGGACGTGGCCGCCCGTCGAATCTGTCGATCTCCATCGGGTCGGCGAACGTGGTGTGAGCCGAGCGGTCGCCCTGTCGCGTACTGCCGACGTGCGTCCGTCGTGTTCCGGCGTTGACCATGTCGAAGCGCTCGCGGCCGAAACGACGTCACTGTAGCTCGCGTAGTTTGACGCTGCCACCTGTCGTTTGACTTCGGTCTTCAGCCCTGCGAGGTATGATTGCACTTTTTCCCCTTCGGTCAGGTCGGGAATTCGGTTATAAAATTCTTCCATCTGCTGCGTGTACTGTGCTACACTCCCGAACTGTCGATGGCGATGAATTTTTTCGCGGGCAAGGAAACCTGAATTTATCGGCTCGAATCGTTTCAGCAGGTCGGCGCGGAACTGCTGCCACGTGGCTTCACCGTGGATGAAGTGCTGTTACCGCCAATCCACTCGAGTGCCGGCCCTCGCATCAGTGTCGCCGCGAGTCGTACACGTTGACCGTCCCAGACTGGCGAGCTCCATCCGACGGCTGCGAAGTAGATCTCCATCCCGGCGATCCATCTGCGGGCGTCGGAGTTTCGATCGCTCGGATCGAACGGCTCAGGTGGGCGCGGTTTTGGAGCCTCGAGAAATTGCTGCGACTGCTGCGTCGTCGCCGTAGTCGTCTCGTGGCTGCGCTCCGGCGAGTCGAGTTACTCGCTCGAACTGGTTTCGCCACGCTTCGCGATCCGCTCGCATTTCCTCCTGAAGGGCTGCGATGCGCGCGAAGAGCTGCTGGGTAACCTCGGCGTTGTCGAAGGTTGCCATCCTGTTCAAAACACGCACGGAGGGGGTAATTCGAAAATCGCGGAGCTGGTGCTTACCAGAATCGGCGTCGAATTTGGTCGCCCCCGGCGGTTTTTTCGAAGCAGGTTTTCCCGCTGCTGCTGCTTTGTTGAGCGCGGCCGAGTGAGAAAAGCTCTGATTACCAAGTGTCACAGGATCGAATGACTCGAGGATCGATTGCACTATCGATCAGTACAAGGCGCTTTTATACTTCCAGAGTACATCAGGTAACCAGGTTTATCCTATCTAAAGGAATAGACCCTTCTAGAAAATAGAATCACCCTGCGTATAGCCACGCGAGGCTATTGGCTTTAAGGATTACGGCAGGATTACGCTAGATAGCGTGTCTAGAACATTCCATGCCTGGTCGGTGATATAATAATAATAAAGGAAGAAACCAAAGGATAAGGGAAAATGGGAAATATGAGGCCACAAGAGATGAGATAAAAAGAGGAATGAAATGAAGATGAAATATGGAAAAGGCCAAGTGGTGTAACGAGGTCGTACTCTCACAGGTGGCAAGCAGGTAGAGGGTAGAGGTAATGGGCGGCTGGTGGGCTCTAAGCTGGGCGTCAGTGCAGGCAGCGCGCCAGGTCTCATCTATCGAGCGCAGGTGGGCAGCGAGGTCAGAGACAGTGGGGAAAGATGCAAGGTCAGGAAAGAGCATCGGAAGGATCAGGCGACCCACCGAGGCAGCCGGAGGGGTGGAATAGCGCTTGATCACAGCATCTAAGTATGCCTGAGCAGTAGTGAGGGACCTAAAGCGAGGACGCTCGGATGGGGGAAGGGCGTTGCTAATGGCAAGCTGGGCAACAGCATCGCGAGAAAGCCAGACAGAGCGCGCACGGGCAGTGGCAGCAGTAGACTCACACTCAGTGGGTGTGGGGTCAGCGGGCAGGATAGCAGGGGGGTCTGGGCAGGGGAGCGTACCGTCAAGGTGTGCGGAAAGCGGTTCACCATCCTGCCGCTGGCCAGTGAGTTGGCGGCGGAGGTCGGCAAGCCACGCCTCGAACTCTAGGGGCTGACCTTCAGCGTCGAAGCGAAGCTCCGCCGCCATCAGGAACAGTGCAGTGCGGTGCAGGGCAGTGCAGTGCGGTGCAGTGCGGTGCAGTGCGGTGCAGTGCGGTACAGTGCGGTGCAGTGCGGTGCAGTGCGGTCCAGTGTGGTACAGTGCGGTGCAGTGCGGTGCAGTGCGGTATAGTGCGGTGCCAGGCAGTACAGTGCAGTGTGGTGCGGGGCGGCACGGAGCAGGGCGGGGTGGGGGGGGGGGGACCGTACCAGTGTGGAGGACGGGGCCGGGGCTGGCCCGACGGGGCCGGGCGGGCGCGACGGGACCGGGCTGGTGCGACAGGGCCGGGACGGGCGACGGGCCGAGCGGGCGCGACGGGGCCGGGCTGGGGCGACGGGGCCGGGCGAGTGCGGCAGGGCCGGGCCGGTGCGACGGGGCCGGGCGAGCGGGACAGCGGCCGGGCGGGTGCGACGGGGCCGGGCGGCTGCGACGGGCCGGGCAGGGTGCGACGGGGGCGGGCAGGTGCGACGGGCCGGACGGCTGCGACGGGGCCAGGCAAGGGCGACGGGGCCGGGCGGGCGCGACGGGGCCGGGCGGGCTGCGACGGGGCCGGGCGGGCGCGACGGGCCGGGCGGGTGCGACGGCGCCGGGCGGGCGCGACGGGGCCGGCGGCTGCGACAGCGCCAGGCGGGCGCGACGGGCCGGCGGCTGCGACGGGGTCGGGCAGGGTGCGACGGGGTCCAGGAGGGGCGCTACAGGGCCCAGGGAGGGCGCGACGGGGCCCAGTAGGGGCGCTACGGAGCCACGGAGGGGCGCGACGGGGCCTGGGAGGGGCGCGACGGGGCCCAAGAGGGGCGCGACAGAGCCCAGGAGGGGCGCTACGGGGCCTGGGAGGAGCGCGACGGGCCCATTAGGGGCGCTAGGGGGGCCTGGGAGGAGCGCGACGGGGCCTGGGAGGGGCGCGACGGGGCCTGGGAGGGGCGTTACAGGGCCCAGGAGGGGCGCTACGAAGCCCAGGAGGGCGCGCCGAGGCCCAGGAGGGCGCTACGGGGCCCAGAAGGGGCGCGACGGGGCGCTACGGGGCCTGGGAGGAGCGCGACGGGGCCCAGGAGGGGCGCTAGGGGCCTGGGAGGATCGCGACGCGGGGCCTGGGAGGGGCGTTACAGGGCCCAGGAGGGGCGCTACGAAGCCCAGGAGGGGCGCGACGAGGCCCAGGAGGGGCGCTACGGGGTCCAGGAGGGGCGCGACGGGGCGCTACGGGACCTGGGAGGAGCGCGACGGGGCCCAGGAGGGGCGCTAGGGGCCTGGGAGGAGCGCGACGGGGCCTGGGAGGGGCGCGACGGGGCCTGGGAGGGGCGTTACAGGGCCCAGGAGGGGCGCTACGAAGCCCAGGAGGGGCGCGACGAGGCCCAGGAGGGGCGCTACGGGGCCCAGAAGGGGCGCGACGGGGCGCTACGGGGCCTGGGAGGAGCGCGACGGGGCCCAGGAGGGGCGCTAGGGGGCCTGGGAGGAGCGCGACGGGGCCTGGGAGGAGCGCGACGGGGCCCAGGAGCGGTGCTAGGGGCATGAGCGGAAGCGGTAGGTGGGGGGGGGGATCCTACCTACGCGTGATACCATATCAGAATTGGAATTGAATAATGGTAAAGTGAGAGTACACACAAATATACCTAAGTGTTGTACCCTCTAAGCGGTAACCCTATACAGTCTATACAAACATGACAAATACAGATGTTTGACAAGTACAACACTTGGGCTTATACCCTTGTACGCTTTATTCTCTCGACATTCAATCCTACGTTGAGATAACTACCACAGCTGATTTAAAGGCAACTATCATAGCAAGTATAGCAACATCTGTAACCCACCACCGCCATGCCCCATTCATCCATGCCCACATATCCATCCACCTGTCCCCATCACTGCTGTCGCTGCTCCTGCACTCATTCCCAGGAATGAAAGAATGTGACATGGCTGAAAGGGATCCTAACAGCAAGAGGAGAGGAGGAGGAGGGGCCACCAGTGGCAGTGGTATTGGGAAGGTTTCGGGTGCAGCAACCAGTTAGAAGGATGCGCATCACAATGTATTGTGGGTCCTCATGCCATGCCGGGAAAAAACAGTATAAGGATGCGCATCTGCGCATTCCTGAGAATGGCAAGGCGTGGAGAGAAGCCTCACGAAAGGCATGCAGTAGCAGTGGTTGGCACACCAGTGCGTTCGATAACATTGAGAGATCAACACAAAAGTATGGATGTACCAACATTAAGAGGCCACGCGTGCATGCACACATGCCCACACACCACACATGCGCACGGAATGCCGAGCTGACAACCCAGCAGAGTCCATAGTGGCAGTGAGGGAGAAACGGAAGAGAAGAGTGGAGAGGAGGGGACGGGAGGGAAGGAAGGAAGGAAGAACAAAACGGACGAATGACGAACAGCAATTGTGCAGATAGCAACGACTCTGCAAAACCAAGGGGCAGAGAAAATCAGCCCATAAGGAACCCGGTCAAGAGAATACGATTAATGAGCAAGCAGAGCGCAAAGTTTCTTCAGCCCATACTTGCTGTTGCATTTTTTCCTCCGTTGCTGAAGCAGCCACTGCAACCGGTTCTGGCTATTTGATCAAAGTCCGAGATCTGGTTGCGGGCTGTCTAAGATAATTAGTTACTTGGGTGACAAGTAATGGGGGAAAGGGGGAAGGGGAAAGGGGGGGTGGGGGGGGGGTGGGGGAGGGATGGTGTGAAGGGATCTTACCAAAGAGGGGGGACAAGGTCAGAAGGGTTGTAGTAGCAGGGGTAGTGTGGTTGCTGAAGGGAGGACGGCTCAGTGGGAGGATGGTTAGGGGGGGAGAGCCAAGGACGAAGATGATGAAGATGGCAGTCTGAGGGATGGTGGGGTTTGACGTGGAGGGGGGGGGGAAACCACCGACGGGGGAGGCAGCAGCATAATATTTGGCAGAGACAATCTCAGTCGCTAGAGCACGCTCTTAAAATCCACGACTACCCTAAATCGTATTGCGTTCGGTCTAAGCTATTTCTTCCATAAAAATGTCTGCAGATCCGCATGGTAGTCATTACCTTGCTCAGATGGAAGAACCACCAATATTTCCATCCGTCCGACCCCCTCGTTCTTCGCCTGGCTAACGTTAACGGTTTTCGCATGCGATTTCCTTTGTTTATATTTTGCAATCATAATAACAGCTGCCAGTCGCGACTATTCCTGCCCGACCTACCCCGGGGACGCGTCGTGCTTCTAGAGTGTCGTCTAATTTCTTGCCACGATGCACTAGACATGCGCCGAAGTGTCTAATCTCTCAGGCCTTTACCAACACCCACGGTGACTACTTCGCTACCAAGCAGTCAAGTAATAACTAAACAGCGGCGAGGTGGCGAGCGAACAGTCTTTTGACGACAAAGCGGAAGTGACGGAATGGAAGGCAGACTCGTTACGGCGTAGTGCAGCCGTTCCGTGCGAAACAGTAGTCGGAAGGACAGTGCGGACCTGCTTCGCGAATCCAGCCGGTTTTGAATTCACGACGGGTTAACGACATTCGCGAATTTAGTCTGGACCCGTTCGAAATGGCTGCACCACGCCATTAGGTTTCAGTTCGGTGGCAAAACAGGAGAAATCTAACACAACCGATCTGAACCCATCCAACTCTGTCACTAACCTCGCCTCATCCACCAATTTAACGAGGTCACTAATTTAGGTCCACTAAGAATTCTGGACCCCAGATCAGCCTTCCACTATGTCCTACGGCTGCTTACCAGTAACATGAGTAGTACAACAGAGTAGCAACATAAGCACCCCAATATTTGATTCACCCAGCAGCTAATTAGCGTTTCCATCCGAGGAAGCTTGTAAGGCAGCAGATTGTCAACCTGGACAAAGCTGAACCCACTTGACCCAATTCGCAGGATCCACACACACGCGACCCAGTTCGAAGTATTCCCCAATCCGACATTTCGCATACTGTATCCCAATAGGCTGACCTGGCGTGCATCCGAATGCCCAACAGATTTCGCAAACAGCCTCGCCACAGAAACTTCGCATCTACCCATTGTCGCCTTCGCAACAACCCCGCGCCTCGATGTCCGTAGAATTCGAATCTCAAATTTTCGAACATAAATAACTCCCACTGATCTTCTAAACCATCGAACCAGTCATCCCCCAGCTCTCCCACTCCCACCAGCCGACATCCCGCTTTATCTCAGCTTGATCCCCAAGCTCCCGCCATCATGGCTGCTCTTTCCTCCGCCACCGCGGCTTCCGCCGCTTCCGCCTTCTTCGCGTCGAGCGCCGAGCTCGCGGCGAAGGTGAACAACGTGGAGAGCCGCGTGACGATGCGCAAGACCGTGAAGGCCGCGGACAGCCTGAGCCAGTGGTACGGGCCCGATCGCAGCCTGTTCCTGGGCCCCTTCTCCTCGCCTCCCGCGTACCTGAAAGGCGAGTTCCCCGGCGACTACGGGTGGGACACGGCGGGCCTGTCGGCGGACCCCGAGACGTTCGCGAAGAACCGCGAGCTGGAGGTGATTCACTCGCGCTGGGCGCTGCTCGGCGCGCTTGGCATCGTGTTCCCCGAGCTTCTGGCGCGCAACGGCGTGCCGCTGGGCGAGGCAGTGTGGTTCAAGGCGGGCGCGCAGATCTTCAGCGAGGGCGGGCTCAACTACCTGGGCAACCCCAGCCTCATCCACGCGCAGAGCATCCTCGCCACGCTCGCCGTCCAGGTCAGTCAGAGACAATGGTTTCGCTTTTCTAATCTCCCCATCACTGCCGTCGATCGCCGTTCAGGATCGTCCCGACGCTTGCTCTTTCTCACGCCTCAAACGCGCTCTCGGTTTCTCTTTCCCCAGTCGCTTCTTTCCTCGCTTGACGAACTGAATTTCGGATATGCGTAACGAACACGTTGCTGACTCTATTTTCGTTTTGTAACGTGGTAACCCGACGGCCTCGCGCAGGTGGTGCTGCTGGGATTGGTGGAGAGCTACCGCGTGGGCGGGCTGGAGGGATTCCAGGAGGTGGACGACCCGATCTACCCGGGCGGAGCGTTCGACCCGCTGGGGCTGGCGGACGACCCCGACGCGTTTGCGGAGCTGAAGGTGAAGGAGCTGAAGAACGGGCGGCTGGCGCAGGTGGCGGTGCTGGGCTTCTTCGTGCAGGCCATCGTCACCGGCAAGGGGCCCCTCGAGAACCTCGCCGACCACCTCGCAGACCCCGCCGCCAACAACGCCTGGGCCTACGCGCAGAACTTCGTGCCCGGCGCCTAGAGAGGAGCTGTTTTCGCCGCCGAGAAGATGACGCGCCGAACTTCGTGCCTGGCGCTGTGAGGGCGGAGTTCAGAGAACATAGCGGCTGGTGCTTCTTTGATTGCTCTTATTTGTACAGCCCGCTTTGATGTATGTATAGTTGAAATGCTAAATCAAATAGCTCAATCAATCCTTAGTTTAGGGCCCTAGAACACCAGCATCCTCAGCTGCCTTGGTGTTGCACACGGCCAGTTGCTGTTGAGAGGAGCCCATTGCGGGGCATTGCTCCTGATATGCACAAACCAGTAAACCACAGCCATTGCAAGTGGGGCACAATGACCAATCCCAACACATGCATAACTACCACAGCAGATTGAAAGGCGACTATCATAGCGAGTAAAGCAGCATCTGTAACCCCACCACGAGCATGCACCATCCATTCATGCCCACATATCCATCCACCTGTCCCCATCTCTGCTGACGCTGCTCCTGCACTCATTCCCAGGAATGAAGGAATACTAAGAGCAAGAGGAGAGGAGGAGGGGCAATCAGTGGCAGTGGTAGTGGGAAGATTTCGGGTGCAGCAAGCAGGTATAAGGATGCGCATCACACTGTATTGCTGGTCCTCATGCCATGCCGGGAGATAACAGTATAAGGATGCGCATCTGTGCATTCCTGAGAATGGCAGGGCATGGAGAGAAGCCTCACGAAAGGCATGCAGTAGCAGTGGTTGGCACACCAGTGCGTTCGATAACGTTGAGAGATCAACACAAAAGTATGGATGAACCAACATTAAGAGGCCACGCGTGCATGCACACATGCCCACACACCACACATGCGCATGGAATTTCTAGCTGACAACCCAGCAGAGTCCATAGTGGCAGTGAGGGAGAAACGGAAGAGAAGAGTGGAGAGGAGGGGATGGGAGGGAAGGAAGGAAGGAAGAACAAAACGGACGAATGACGAACAGCAATTGTGCAGATAGCAACGACTCTGCAAAACCAAGGGGCAGAGAAAATCAGCCCATAAGGAACCCGATCAACAGAAAACGATGAATGAGCAATCAGAGAGCAAAGTTGCAGCCCATAGTTGTCTGAATGCCTTCGAACACTCGCCATACCATCATGCTGCTGCTGCCGAAGCTGCTGTTGCATTTTTTCCTCCGTTGCTGAAGCAGCCACTGCTGCTGCAGCTCCTGTGCCGGCCTGCGGGCGCTGACAGTGCTCGTTGTGACTGGATTCTCCATCAACTATCATCTCGAGAGAATTTCAGCGTGAACAACCTCTCAAGCCCCACGGTTTGAAGAAGAGACGAGGAAGCCCTTGGGGTGAGCCAGCGACTCTGCTGGTTGCCTTAGCTCCAGCATGGCTTGCCTTTCCTGCTAGCCAGTGCATCCCTGTGCAGACACAGCAGGCCTAAGAGGAGGAGGCAGGAGGATGGAGGGAGGGAGAGAGGGAGAGAGGGAGGGAGACACGGGGAGGTAGGGAAGGAACGAAGAAGGTCAGTTCCATACTCTCACTGCCTGTGAGGTCTCACCAGTGAGCGTGAGAGGAACATGGGATGAAGGAAGTGCAGCAGAGATGAGAGGACAAGTCAGAAGCGGCAGAGGCATGAGAGGGAGAGAATGATAGGCGTCACAAACCTAGAATTGAATAATGATAGAGTTAGAGAGTACATGCACATATACCTAAATGTTGTACCCTCTAGGAGGTTACCCTATACAGTCTATACAAACATGATCAATAAACATGTTTGACACACCCCCTGGACTGCATAGGGGAATGTCCTAGATAAGCAGCTCAGGGCGGCACTACTAGTCCAGCCTCTGAGACAAGGGTCTAAAAGACCAGTCAGAAGGAGTACAGACAAGACAAGAACAACTACAGGGCGGCACTACTAGTCCAACCACTGTGAGAGGACACAAGTCCAGTCTGAGTGTACACATATATATATAGGACAGTACAAAGTCAAGGCCCGAGTAAGTGAGCGACTACAGGAACCAGACCAAGCTGTACACAGTGCCGCTGATGATCTTTAGGCGCAAGCGCCTTCGTAAAGATATCAGCTGTGTTGGCACCGGAGGCCAAGTGTACTACGCGAGCCTGGCGACGCTGCTGTAGCTCGCGCAGGAGGAAGTACCGCAGCTGGATGTGCTTCGCTCTACCCTCGAGTCGAGGCTCCTGACACAGGAGGATCATGGCCCTGTTGTCAGCGTACAAGACTGGGGCAGAGCTAGGCCGCTCACCTAAGTCAGTGAGCAAGAAGGTCAGCCAGCGGAGCTCCTGTGCCGCCATGGCACCGGCGTAGATCTCAGCCTCACAGCTGGACTGGGCAACAGACGAGGAGCGGGTAGCTCTCCACGAGACAGCACCTGAGCCAAGGCTAAAGCAGTAGCCCTGGGAAGACCTGAGCGTCTCGGCGTCGTCTGCCCAAGAAGCGTCTGTGTGTCCAGTAAGGACCACTGGCCTACGTCCGCCTAGCACTAACCCCATGCCCGATGTACTTGCAAGATAACGCAAAACCCTCTTAGCGGCAGACCAGTGCTGAGGTCGGTGTCTGCCTGTGGCCACGAAACGAGCCAGGATGCTGAGAGGGTATGCGAGATCTGGGCGAGTGCAAGTCATCAGGTACATGAGGCAACCCACTAGCTCAGCGTAAGGACCACTGGGATCTACCGACTCCTCAGGAACTGGAGCGGAGAGTCTGTGGTCCAGAGGAAGAGGGGTGGGCTGTGCGGAGGAGAACTGAAGGCCGAACCTCTGAAGGACCTGGCGCACCAAGTGTGACTGAGTCAGGGTGATGGTGCGCGCGGCTCTGTCTCTGGAGATCTGCAAGCCAAGGTAACGGCGCAGCTCTCCAAGGTCAGTGCAGGTGTGTCTCTTCAGCAGCTCTGCCTTCACGGAGGCCAGTGCGTCCCTGTCAGCTGTGGCAAAGACCAGGTCGTCTACGTAGACAAGGATGTAGAACGGAGTCGGGCCAGCACGAACGAAGAGCGAGGGGTCTGCAGAGGACGGAAAGAACTGCAGGTCAGCAAGGGTAGCACGCAGCGTGTCGTGCCACTCACGAGGCGCCTGGCGCAGGCCGTAGACTGGGCGCCGCAGAAGCCACTGGGTCCCAGGGGGGAAAGTGCCAGTAAAGCCCTGAGGACGACGCAGGTAAACCTGCTCGTGAAGGCTGCCCTGAAGGAAGGCAGTGGAGAAGTCGAGGGAGTGAAGCTCGTAGTCACGCTGAGCCGCTACGTGTAACAGAACCCGAAGAGTAGTCATCTTCGGCGTAGGAGCGAAAGTCTGAAAGAAGTCCACCCCCTCGCGCTGACTGAAGCCTCTAGCCACGTAGCGCGCCTTGAACACAGGCGGCTCTCCAGGAGGGCGCTGCACCTTGAAGAGCCAACGGCCATCGACCACGTTCACCCCAGGTGGGGGAACTGCGTCGACGAAGGTGCCGGTGGATCTCCAAGATGCCATCTCCTGTTCCATGGCAGCTATCCACTGAGAGGCCCAGGGTCCCGAAACTGCCTCAGCGTAAGTACGAGGGGTCGGGATGTCGAAAGCGTCTGGGTCACCCTCAGGGACTAGCAGCATGGAACAGAGATGGGGAGCAGCCTCGGACAGGAAAGCAAGCTCAAACTGGCGGTCCTCCAGGACGTCACTGCCGAGGGCAGGAGCACCCCCGACAGACGGAGGACAGGCAGGGTCAGAGACAAGAGCGGTGGCGTAGTCAAGGCGGCGGGTAGAGGCGAAGTCAGCGACCGCAGCGACAAGGGCGTCAAGACTCGACACTGGAACAGACGGGTCGGTAACGAGAGAGGCAAGGACCCGAGGAACAAGAGGGCGAGCGGCACGAAAGTAGTCAGACAGAGGAGGAGACGCAACGACAAGAGAGGACGGAGGAGGAGACGGGAGGAGGGGAGGACGAGACGCGTGGGACCGGAGCAACATAGGGTGAGAGCGCGGGACGGGGGAGACAGGACGAGCACGGGAGGGGCGGCGAGACCAGACGTGAGAGGGGGGCGTCGGGTCAGGAGACAGAGGAGGGGACACTGGTGGGGAACGAGGGGGAAAACGAGCCGGGGACGAGTCCGGCGGAGGGAACACGGGGCCGTAGACGGGAAGAGGAGGAGACGGCAGGAGAGGAACAGGCACAGGGTCAGGGGACGGAAGGCCGAGCAGACGGAGGGCGGACACCGGCGGGGACTGCTGCTGCGGCGACACAACACCAACGCCAGGGCCACAAGCTGCGCGACGGAGACCGCCCGAACCCTCCACACCGGCACCCCCAGAAGGGACACCCCCAGAGCCCGAAACCCCGCCAGCACCGGTACCACCCCCAGGCCCGCCGGGACAAGCCACGACAGGAGCCCCGGGACTAGTACCCACCTCAACGCCAGCACCCCCAGAGTCCACAAACAGCGGCAGCGACGACGGCGGCGGCGGCGGCGGCGGCGGCTGCAGTGACGGCCGCGACGGCGGCGGCGGTGGAGACGACGGCTGCAGTAGCTGCGGCGACGGCGGCTGCGGAGGCGGTGGAGGAGGAGACACCGGGGGAGGGACAGACGGCGAGGACTGCGCCGGAGGACTACCAGAGTCAGAAGACTCGTCAACCGGGACGACCGACGGGAGGGGGGTGACGTGAGACACACCAGAAGGGGCCGGACGGGGGGGCGGGGGGGGGGAGGGGCAGGGACCACCGGGGAAGGAGGGACCAGGAACAGGGGGGGAGTAACCGGGGGACCACGGTGAGGGAAGCGGCGGTAGAAGGAGACGGACTCGTCAAAGGTGACGTCGCGAGAGTGAAAGAAGCGGTGGGACGGCGGGTGGTAGAAGTGCCAGTCGGACGCGTCAAGGGGGAAACCGAGGAAGACGCAGGGGAGGGTGCGGGCAGTGAGCTTGTCCGTGCCAGAGGCACGAACGTGAGCAAGGCAGCCCCAGACGTGGAACGCAGACGCGTCACCAGGGGACCCGGTCCACAGAAGGGTCGGCGAAACCTGCGGCCGCTGGGGGTGCGGCCACAGGTTAAGCTGGTGAGCGGCGTAGCGCACGGCGAACGGCCACAGAAAATGGGGTGCACCGGCGTGGATCATGGAGGTGCGAGCCACCTCCATGACCAAACCGATGCGTCGCTTAGCGACCCCATTCTGCTGCGGGGAGTCCGGCAGGGTAAACGTCTGGGTGATGCCCTCTGCACGACAGAAGCGACCAAGGACACCTGAGGCAAACTCGCCACCCCGGTCGGAGTGGAGGCGCAAGGCAGGGAGACCGCGGTGGACACGAGCAGAGACAAGCCAGGGGATGAGAGCGTCAGGCACGTCGGCCTTCCGCTCCAGGGGAAAGACTGTGGTGTAGCGCGTAAAGTCGTCGACAAGCACTAGGAAGAAGCGCTCGCGACGCGGCCCATGGACCGGGGCTGGGCCCCAGACGTCCATGTGCAGAGTCTGCAGTGGTGCGGTGGTAGGGGGAAAAGAGGAGGAGTGAGGGGCACGGCGGAGCCGGCCCTCGACACAAGGCGTGCACGGGGGGGCGGGGGAGGAGGGAAACTCGGGGAAGGAACCGGGGAGACCAAGGACGAGACCGTGCTGGGACATGTGACGCAGACGCGGGAGTGCAGGGTGACCAAGGCGGTGGTGCCAAAGGAGAGTCGGGTGAGTGAGGGACCGACAGGAGCACGCAGCAGCAACCTGGGTGGACGCAGCTACCTGGGGGGAAGACCCAGCCGGGGAAGTCGCGGTGTCAAGTGTGAACAGGCCGGACACCGGGTCCCGGGGGAAAGTGGTAAGGGGGGCACCAGTGACGGCCTCGGTACAGACAGCATACCGCTCGTGACCAGGGAACGTAGTGGTGACGCCAAGGTCCTGGAGGCAGCCGACACCAACTAGGTTCCTGGAGAACGAGGGGATATGCAGACCGGTGAGCGAACATGAAGGAACCGCCGGACAGGGAAGGGAGGTGGAATGGCGGGCAACGACGGGACCACCGGAGGGGTCAGCAAGAGTAACTGCGGCGGGAACAGGCAGCGGCGTCAGCGTCGTGGAGTCGCGGAAGAAACACCGGGAGGCGCCAGAGTCCAAGGTGAAGGAAAGCGCAGCAGTCGCGCAGGGCGGCAGTGAAGCGGTGGAAGCACCGAGGCTAAGCAAAGCAGAAGATCCTACGCCTGACGCAGCAGGGGAGTCTACGCTAGGCACAGCTACACTAGGCAACACGGGGTAATAAGAGGGAAGCACACTAGAGTCATCAGCATACATCACATGCAAGGCTGCTACAATGGCATCCATGTCCAAGTCAAAAATCCGAATGCTACGCCTAAGCAAGCTGTGCCAGTCCGGGAGGTCGGGCGCCGGGCCAAAGCGCTGACGGAACAGGTCGTCCAGACGACGAAAACAGCGAGGAGTGGAATGACCGATCTTACCGCAAACGAAGCCGCGGCGAGGACCGGTCTGGATCTGGTACTGACAGGGCCCGCCTCCAGAACCACCACCCGGTGCACCACCACGCGCACGACCACCACCAGCTCCAGGCCACCCAGGCGGGAGAGCACTCGCCTGCCTCGTCTGCGGCGGCTGCTGCGGCTGCTGCGAAGGCTGCGGCTGCGGCGACTGCTGCTGCTGCTGCTGCGGGGCAGCTGGACCGGGCAGGGTCCCCACGTCCGCACCGGCACCGGACGACCCGACTCCACCACTACCCCCACCCGCACCCCCGCCGCTTCCGCCGCTCCCAACCTTGGGGCGGCGGCCCTTCCCCGAACGGGACTGCACTGCAGCAGCAGTCTCAGCCACAGCGACCGAGCCGTCGGAGAAGGTACACTGAGCGGGGGCACAACCCTGAAAGATAGGGACCGGTACTGTACCGCTCGCCTGGGCTATGGAGCGGTGACGAGTCTCTATGACAGTCAGGGTGTCAACAAAGTCGGTGAGGGTGAGAGCAGCGGGGTGGATGCTAAGGAACTGATCGCGGGCGGCGGCAAGGCGGTCAGGGAGGCGGGTGGCAAGGAGGTAGAGGGTAGAGGTCATGGGAGGCTGGTGGGCTCTAAGCTGTGCATCAGTGCAGGCAGCGCGCCAGGTCTCATCTATCGAGCGCAGGTGGGCAGCGAGGTCAGAGACAGTGGGGAAAGACGCAAGGTCAGGAAAGAGCAGGGGGAGGATCAGGCGACCCATAGGAGGGGTAGAATAGCGCTTGATGACAGCATCGAGGTAGGCCTGGGCGGTAGTAAGGGTTCTAAAGCGAGGGCGCTCAGGGGGGGGGAGAGCATTGCTAATGGCGAGCTGAGCAAGGGCATCGCGGGAAAGCCAGACAGAGCGGGCAAGGGCAGCGGCCGCAGTGGACTTGCGCTCAGCGGGCGTGGGATCAGCGGGCAGCACAGCAGGGAGGTCAGGGCAGGGGAGCATACCGTCTAGGTGGTCAGAAAGCGGGTGGCCGTCCTGCCGCTGACCAGTGAGGTGGCGGCGGAGGTCAGCCAACCACGCCTCGAACTCCAGAGGCTGACCCTCAGCATCAAAACGAAGCTCAGCAGCCATCAGGGGCAGTGTAGGACAGTGGAGTGCGGTGTAGTGCTGTGCAGTGCGGTGCAGGGCGGTGCAGTGCGGTGCAGTGCGATGCAGTGCGGTGCAGTGCGGTCCAGTGCGGTGCAGTGCGATGCAGTGCGGTGCAGTGCGGTCCAGTGCGGTGCAGTGCGGTGCAGTGCGGTCCAGTGAGGTGCAATGCTGTGCAAGGCGGGGCAGGGAAGTGCAGGAGGGTGCAAAGCGATGCGGGGAAAGGGGGACAGTACCAGGAAGTATGTAGGGCCGGGGCAGGCGCGACGGGGCCGGGCAGGCGCGACGGGGCCGGGCAGGCGCGACGCGGGGCCGGGCGGCTGCGACGGGGCCGGGCGGCAGCGACGAGGCCGGGCGGCTGCGACGGGGCCGGGCGGCTGCGACGGGGCCGGGCGGCAGCGACGAGGCCGGGCGGCTGCGACGGGGCCGGGCGGCAGCGACGAGGCCGGGCGGCTGCGACGGGGCCGGGCAGGACACAGCAGGGCCGGGCGAGGGCGACGGGGCCGGGCGGGCGTGACGGGGCCGGGCGGGTGCGACAGGGGCCGGGCGGCTGCGACAGGGGCCGGGCGGGCGCCACGGGGCCGAGCGGCTGCGACGGGGCCGAGCTGGGGCGACGGGGCCGAGCAGGTGTGACAGGGCCCAGGAGGGGCTCGACGAGGCCCAGGAAGGGGCACTGCAGGGCCCTGGAGGGGCGCGACGGGGGCCCAGGAGGGGCGCGACGGGGCCCAGGGGCGCTACGGGGCCCAGGGAGGAGCGCGGCAGGGCCCAGGAGGGGCGCTAAGGGGCCCAGGGAGGAGCGCGGCAGGGCCCAGGAGGGGCGCTAAGGGGCCCAGGAGGGGCGCGACGGGGCCCAGGGAGGGGCTCGACGGGGGCCTGGGAGGGGCGCTACCAAGCCCAGGAGGGGCGCGACAAAGCCCAGAAGGGGCGCTACGAAGCCCTGGAAGGGGCGCGACGGGGCCTGGAGGGGCGCTACGGGGCCTGGAAGGAGCGCGACGGGGCCTGAGAGGAGCGCGACAGGGCCCAGGAGGGGCGCTAAGGGGCGCGACGGGGCCCTGGAGGGGCGCTACGGGGCCCAGGAGGGGCGCGAAGGGGGGGGCGACGGGGCCCTGGAGGGGCGCTACGGGGCCCAGGAGGGGCGCTAGGGGGCGCGACGGGGCCCGGGAGGGGCGCTACGGGGGCCCAGGAGGGGCGCGACGGGGCCCTGGAGGGGCGCTACAGAGCCCTGGAGGGGCGCGACAGGGGGCCTGGAGGGGCGTTACGAAGCCCTGGAAGGGGGGCGCGACGGGGCCTAGAGGGGCGCTACGAGGCCCTGGAAGGGGCGCAACGGGGCTAGGGGGGGGGTCGCGACTGGGCTCAGGAGGGGCGAGGCTAGGCTAGGAGACGCGACGGGAGGAGCGGAAGCGGTAGGTGGGGGGGGGGGGGGGGGGGGGGGGGGGTCGAAACCTACGCGTGATACCATTTCAAAACTAGAATTTAATGAATGACAGAGTTAGAGAGTACATGCACAGATACCTAAATGTTGTACCCTCTAGGAGGTTACCCTATACAGTCTATACAAACATGATCAATAAACATGTTTGACAAATCTACCATAGATGCTGGACTGGAGTGGATGCTCAAACTAGTACGGTGTCCGCTTTTGAGTCGACTCAAGAGCACGCAACGGCGACCAAAGCATCAAGTCAAGTATGGCACACAACATAATGAACCGAGGATGCTGGACTGGATTGACGCTCAAACCAGTAGTACGATATCCCCAACGAATTTGTGCACCCCAGCCGTGCACAGCACAGCACAGCACGGCACAGCACAGTGCAACCCATCTGATCTGAACCAACCAAGTGTCAAGGCGGTAGCGTAGATGATGGAACGAGAAAGCTCGTTGCATTCAATGCTCTCTAGCTAGTCCCCTTCTCCCCCCTTCCCCTCCCCTCCCTCCCCTCCCTCCCGCCTCTTCCCCCCCTCCCCTCCCTCCCCTCCCTCCCCCACTCCCACCTAAACCCCACCCGTATCACACGGGTAGTTAAACAACTTGGTCCCGCACACACCAGGGAGCACCGACAGCCCATTCATGCAGAAGCCAGTGCTCGGATTTAAAATCGTCGGAAGAAAAAACTTATAGTCGTCTACACCCACTGTGTTGTATTGTACAGCGGGGCTGTCGTCCGTGAGGTATTCTGTGCCCCAGATGTCCGCGCACAGATCCACATTCTCGTTGCCCGCATCGTCGGCCCACGTGGCCCCTGGTTTCGGGTTAACCACGGTCTCGGAAAGCACGTGGGCAAAGTTGGAGATTGCTCCGTCCAGGATCCGGTCCCCGTTGGGGTACTCGAGGCCTGCTGCCACTGCGTGCGTGCACCGGGCGAGAAACTGCAAGGAAGGGAGAGGGGGTGGAGGATGGCAAAGGCGAGATGAAAAGGCAAGGCGAGATGAAACGGCCTGTCGAGAGTCTGTCGCCGTTGGGGTACTTGAGGCCCGCTGCCACTGCGTGCGTGCACCGGCCGAGGAACTGAGGGGGGAGGGAGAGGGGGATGGGGGGGAAGATGTCGACACGAGATGGGATGAGATTACAATGTAGACCCCATTGGAGTGCTTGAGGCCTGCTGCTACTTCGGGCGTGCAATTGGCGAGAAACTGCTAAGGGGGAAGGGGAGGGGAGGGGGAGGATAGCAACGGGGAGACGGAATGAGATTCTGCTTGGTCCCGAATGGGGTACCTGGCGAGAAACTGTGAAGGCGCGACAATGCTGACGTTTGGGCATGCCGACCTACGTACACTTCACACTCCCCCAATAATCGTGCATCGGGCAGAAGTCAATTAAGCAGAGCCGCCAGCCTTTCCATCATGGAACCATCATGGAAAGCACTCACCCGATCGGGCGTGCCAACCCATGTCCACGTGACGCTCCCGCTGACATGGTGGAACATACACAAGTCGGTTGAAGGGTCAACCAACCAAGCCTATAGAATCAACTCGCAGTCACAAAAAGCACCCACCCATAACAGTCACAAACGGCACTCACCCGATCGGGCATGCCGACCCACGCCCACTTGATGCTCCCGCTGGCATCATGGAAAGCGCAGAAGTCGGAGCCGAAGCCATCCACATCCACGTCAGAGGAGGTGAGGATGACGTAGACAGCGCTGCTGATTCGCGGCAGCGACCCCGAGAGGATCTGGAAGTTGATGAGCGCTAGGAGGTCGGCCTTCTTCAGGGGCGTCTGGCCCGAGGCAGCTGAGGCGGCTGCCACATCGATCTCTGTGTTCTGTGATTGGACAACGTGGGGGTTAGAGGGTGTGGGACAGGAGAGAAAGAGGGCGTTGGCGACCCCGACAGGATCCGGAAGTTGATGAGAGCTAGGAGGTCGGCCTTCTTTAGAGGCGTCTGGGCCGAGGCAGCTGAGGCGGCTGTAACCTATGCTGCGGGAGACGGTGGGCGTGATGAAGGAGGGATGGAGAGGGGAGAGAACAGGATAGGAGGAGGAGCGGAGGAAGGCAGCCGAAAAGGGGCTTACGCTGCGCGAGACGGTGGGCGTGACGAAGGTGGAAGAGGAGAGGAGAGAGGAGAACGGAGGGAGGGAGAGAAACGTACGCTGCGGGAGACGGTGGGCGTGACGAAGGTGGCGCCGGACTTGTAGAGGCGGTTGATGTTCCACCAGTCCTTGACGCTGCCAGGTTTGTTGGCCAGCGTCGCCTCGGAAATGGAGTCCACAAACTTCTGGATCGGCGTCTTCTGCGACGCCGGCCACGTGCCATGCCAGATCAAATACACCTCCAGCGGCTGCGACATCACTGCGCCGCCCTTGAACGACACGGACTTGGCCGCGTAGCTGGGGACTGCAAGCAGAGAGGAGGGGGGAGGGAGCAGCACATGTGCCGTGCCAGATCAGATACACCTCCAGCGGCTGCGACATCACGGCGCCGCCCTTGAATGACATGCTCTTTGCCGCGTAGCTGGGGACTGCAAGCAGGGGGGGAATGCCACAGAAGTAGGTACAGAGCAGTGAGGAGAGCGGCAGTAAGGAGGGGAGCAGCACCCCTGACGTGCCTGATGAGGAAGCAGAGAGCAGTGGGGAAAGGGGAGCAGCACCCCGTGCCAGATGAGGTACACCTCCAGCGGCTGCGACATCACTGCGCCGCCCTTGAACGACACGGACTTGGCCGCGTAGCTGGGGACTGCCCACAAGAGAGGAGGGGGGTGGGGGGAGAGCAATGAGGAGTGGCACGTGTGTGATGCCATGGGATGGGAAAGAGTAGCGCAGCAGAGAAATCAACTTAGAAGCATGAGATGAGGCGAATGGCCGGGCGTGGGTTGGGCGTGGGTATACTGGGGTGGGGACTGGGGGAGGTTACCAGGCAGGCACGCCATTTGACTTACCATTTCCATCCTGCATAACCTTCCAGCTTACCCTTACCATCTGACTGCTTCGTCCAGCAACCCCCTTCACTACTGTATCCCCCTTGCCCTTCGACCCGCCTGTCAACTTCCTTGTTGACCCGCTCTTCCCTCCTCCCTGATTTCCTCCCTAGCTGTCTCCCTGCACCCCCCTCCGTTTCTCCATTCACTACCAGCCCACCACGCACCCTCCCTTCACTCCCAGTCTCCCTTACCCATTCCACCCCCTTTCACTCCCACCCCACCGCTCACCCTCGCCGCTGTATAGCCTCATGGACCCCCAAGCTGACCCACCCTTCCCCCCTCCCTAGCTTCCTCCCTTGCACCTCCCTCAGTTGTTCCCTTGCACCTCCCTCAGTTGTTCCCTTGCACCTCCCTCAGTTGTTCCCTTGCACCTCCCTCAGTTGTTCCCTTGCACCTCCCTCAGTTGTTCCCTTGCACCTCCCTCAGTTGTTCCCTTGCACCTCCCTCAGTTGTTCCTTTGCACCTCCCTCGGTTGTTCCCTTGCACCTCCCTCAGTTGTTCCCTTGCACCTCCTTGCCACTCCCTCCCTACCAGCCCAAAACTCACCCCTGCCATTATACGGCCTCACGAACCCCTTGGTCGACCCGCTTGTCGACTTCTTTGTAGAGTCGCCATTCTCCCCTCCCCCACCCCCACCAACCAACCAACAACCCAACTACCAGACCAGCACTCACCCCTGCCGGAGAACGGCCTCATGAACCCCGCGTTAATCCACCACTCACCCCTGCCAACTTCTACGTGGAGCCAGCCCCCCACCCACCCCCCCCTAGCTTCCTCTCTCGCACCCCCTTCACTCCCAGTCCCCTATTACCCTTGCACCCCCCTTCCCCTGTCAGCCACCACTCACCCCTGCCGCTGCACGGCCTTGTGAACCCCCGTGTTGATCCGCCTGTCGACTTCTTTGTCGAGCTGCCAGCCATCTTCTCTCCCAGTCCCCCCCTTCACTCCCAGTCCCCATTCACCCCTTGCACCCCCCTCCTCTGCCCCCTTCACTACCACCCCACCTCTCACCCCTGCCGCTGTACAGCCTCATGAATCCCAACGTTGACCCGCCCGTTGACTTCTTTGTAGAGCCGCCCCCGACTCCTCCCCAGCACCACCAGCACTTGCTGGTACCGATGGAGATGCGGATGCTGCTGAGGGGAGAGCTAAGGGGAAGGGGGGGAGCTAAGGGGAGAGGAGGGAGCTACCAGTCCCTGCTTCCCTTTCCCCCCTCCCCAGCACCACCAGCACTTGCTGGTGCCGATGGAGATGCGGATGCTGCTGGCGGTGCTCGCGCTTGTCCTAACCCACCCTTCCACTCCCACCCCACCACTCACCCTTCCATTACCACCCCACCACTCACCCCTGCCACTGTACGGCCTCATGAACCCTATGGTCGATCCGCCTGTTGACTTCTTGGTCGATCCGCCCCCGCCCCCTCCCCAGCACCACCAGCACTTGCTCGTGCCGATGCTGATGCGAATGCTGCTGGCGGTGCTCGCGCCTGTAGGGTCGGACGCTGCTGCAGCTACTGCTGCCGTCGCTTGGCGGTTACTTGGAGTGCGGATGCGATCTCCGTTGCTCGCGCTGCTTGTGTCGGATGCAACAGCCGCAACAGTCGCAGTGGCTCTGTCCGACGCAGCAGCAGCAACTGTTGCAGTGGAAGGGTGGATATCTGAGCATTGAGACGAAGGGGGGAGGGAGGGAAAGGGCGGAAGAGAACGTGAATATTGATGCGGATGCTGGCTCTGCTGCTCGCGCTGGCTTAGTCAGCAGCAGGAGCAGCAACAGCAGGAGTCGCAGCGAAAGGGTGGTTGCCTGGGAAGGGGGAGGAGGGGGGAAGGGGAAGAGCGGGTGAACGGGAAGGACAATGGTGATGCGGGCACTAGTTCCAGCTCTCGTTCTCGCTGTGTCCGAATCAGCAGCAACAGCAGCAGCAGCAGTCGGAGAGGAAGGGTGGATGTTTGAGGGGAGGGTGGGGGAGTGGTGACGGGGGGCAGACGGGATGCGTCGGGGTGAAGCAGGCGAAGGGGAGGAGCGAGGGGAGGAGCGAGGCGACAAGGACGGTAGAAGCGAAGGGGGATGCATGGCTTTCCTTTTGAAAGGAAAGGATAAACACGGACACGCACCGTCACTCCCGCCGTCACTCCTGCCGATGACGAGGCCCAGCCGTTCTAGAGCCGCCTTGCCCTCTGGGGAAGAGAGAGAGAGAGGGGGGAATAGAGAGCGAGGGGAATAGTGGAGGAGAGTAGAGGGAGCAAGGAACGGGTGGGGGTGGGAGAGAGGGGAGAAGATGAGCCATGCACCCGCAAAACGACGACTCATGATGAGTGGCATGGTGAGCCGTGTAACGCAGTGAGCCGTGTAACGCAGTGAGCCGTGTAACGCAGCGAGCCATGTAACACAGCGAGCCATGTAACGCAGTGAGCCGTGTAACGCAGTGAGCCATGTAACGCAGCGAGCCATGTAACACAGGGAGCCGTGTAACGCAGCGAGCCATGTAACGCAGCGAGCCATGTAACGCTGCGAGCCGTGTAACGCAGCGAGCCATGTAACGCAGCGAGTCATGTAACGCAGTGAGTCGTGTAACGCAGTGAGCCGTGTAACGCAGTGAGCCATGTAACGCAGTGAGTCATGTAACGCAGTGAGCCATGTAACGCAGTGAGCCGTGTAACGCAGTGAGCCATGTAACGAAGTGAGCCGTGTAACGCAGTGAGCCATGTAACGCAGTGAGCCGTGTAACGCAGTGAGCCATGTAACGCAGTGAGCCATGTAACGCAGTGAGCCATGTAACGCAGTGAGCCATGTAACGCAGCGAGCCATGTAACACAGCGAGCCGTGTAACGCAGCGAGCCATGTAACGCAGCGAGCCATGTAACGCAGCGAGCCATGTAACGCTGCGAGCCGTGTAACGCAGTGAGCCGTGTAACGCAGTGAGCCGTGTAACGCAGCGAGTCATGTAACGCAGTGAGCCGTGTAACGCAGTGAGCCGTGTAATGCAGTGAGCCGTGTAACGCAGTGAGCCATGTAACGCAGTGAGCCGTGTAACGCAGTGAGCCATGTAACGAAGTGAGCCGTGTAACGCAGTGAGCCATGTAACGCAGCGAGCCATGTAACGCAGCGAGCCATGTAACACAGTGAGCCATGTAACGCTGCGAGCCGTGTAACGCAGTGAGCCATGTAACGCTGCGAGCCGTGTAACGCAGTGAGCCGTGTAACGCTGCGAGCCGTGTAACGCAGTGAGCCATGTAACGCTGCGAGTCGTGTAACGCAGTGAGCCGTGTAACGCAGCGAGCCATGTAACACAGCCTAGAGAAGGCGACGAGCAAAGGGAGTTTCCGGCGAAACTGTCGACTGACTAGAGACAAGAGAACCTGCATTTACGACGAGAACCTGTGGACTACACCGATCCATTTCTAGAAGACGCCGCGACGAGAATGCTTGAGACATGAGGTGGCTTTTGAGTCGACTCAAAAGTCACCCCGGAGGCGGCTCAGGGTCGAGCGATGGCCTCAATCAGGAAACACGGAAAAGCGGCTTTTACGGACGCCATGAATGCGCTTCTAGAAGATAGCGGCGACAACCAGAAGAAGTTCACGGCCGCGCGGTGGACTCCGTCAGGAAACACGAAAACTTGCCGCTTAAAGACGACATGGATGCTTCCCTAGAAGATGGCACGACGAGAACCCTTGTGACCAGGCCTAGCTAACACTGATGTAAGAAACTGTCAGCTTTTAGTACTGTGGAAATATGACGACGGCCGGGTTCGTTTCCTGATTGAGTTTCCCGAAAAGGAGTCTCGGCGGCGGGACCAGTCAAGAGCGAGACCTACTCTCTTCGGCGGGGAGAGTTCGCGAAGCAGCGAAGGCTGCATATAAGAAACTGTCGGCTTCTCGTGTGGAAAAAAGGCAACGGCCCGGTTTAACGGAGTTTCGGCGCCGGGACCAACCACGAGCGAGACCTACTTTCTTCGGCGGGGAGAGTTCGCGAAGCAGGCAGCGAAGGCTGCATATAAGAAACTGTCGGATTTTCGTGTGGAAAAAAGACAACGGCCTGGTTTAACGGAGTTTCGGCGGCGGGACCAACCACGAGCGAGACCTACTCTCTTCGGCGGGGAGAGTTCGCGAAGCAGCGAAGGCTACCTTTAGCCAGAGACCTAAAAGGAGATAATTGAAACCCGAGACCTAAAAGTAGTTAATTGAAGCCAGATACCTTAGCGGAGCGCGAGTACGACTCGGGGACGTACCTCTAAGGCGCGCTGCTTCCCGTGGAGTTAACCGCGACTCTACTCGCTCGACGAACGACGCTGCGGCGAGCGCCAGGAATAGAAGTAGTAACGCTATCCGTCGGTGAGACATGGTTCCGCTCACTCCTTTGCCGAAGTTTGGCGCCAAGAAAAGCTTCGAAGTTCTAGCTAGCTCTTGCTGTTGCTAAACTAGGGTTAGTGTGTGCATGTCTGCGTCCAGATCACAATCGCAATCGCAAACAGACCACGTCCCTGTTCAGAGAGAAGGCAAGGCCAGGCACAAAAGGAGGGGAGGGGAGGAAGGAGCCATGACTTGACCACATTTCTGGATTGATCCTAGCAATCATGCATAGAGCACAGCGCAGCACAGCGGCTGGTGAAAGAACGTGGTGGAAGGAAGTCCTTCGCCGCGTTTGCTCACTCTCGAAATTGGTTGGATGAGGGGCTGGAAGGGGTTTGGGGAAAAACGAGGCATCTTTTCTATGGCTGCTTTCCTGAAAAACATGGAGAAACAGGGTGCATTTCGAAATTGCTACATCTATAGGTTTGAGTGACTTGGACGGAATGCGTGGCCAGCCCTCCTTCCACTGAAAAAAATAATTTCGTGATTGTCGAGTTTGCGGGCTGACGGGAAGCCAAAAACAATCCACACGGCACCGATTGGCCAGTGACGGGGTTAAATTGAAGTTCATTGGGCGCTACACTGTGCTCCCCACTTTGCGCGTAGTGGCGAGGCGAAAATGCCAGACAGCACGATCCACCCTGCCCATGTGTGTTTACTGGGCGCTCAGGGTAAGTCCCACGAGTACGTACCCCATACAGTTTGTACAGGTGAAATAGGGTGCCCCACGGTTCAACACGGTGAATTGAAAAAACCGTTTCGCACACATGTGGGACGAACTGTACTCTTGGGACACGCCCTCCCTCGTGTGTCCTGGTGAACTCCTGCACCACTGGAGATCACACTACAGCTGTGACCTCTGGCTAAAGCTGATGTCAAAATACGGCTTCTAAACCGCAGTTTGTCCAACAAAAGCTACATCCGTTAAATCATGTGTTAGACATCGCTTATTAAAATTTGGAAAAAAAATGTCAATGAAAATCTGCATAGGACTCAAGATCTTGTTTGAGCCCGGTGCTAGCAAATGATATTGTTTGTGGCCGTTATTACTCTTTCCAATCCGCCACTAAACTCCCCCAGTGTCACACGGGTAATTAAAGAGGTTCTTTCCACACGCTCCAGGAAGCACTGAAAGCCCATTCATGCAAAACCCTGTGCTCGGATTCAGATTTGTCGGAAGAAAGAATTTGGAGTCGTCTACACCCACGGCGTTGTACTGTATAGCGGGGCTGTCAGCAGTGAGATACTCGCTGCCCCATATGTCTGAGCACAGATCCACATTTTCGTTGCCGTTGTCGTCCGACCAGCTGTTGAGGGTTGGGTTAACCGCCGTCTCGGCAAGCACGTGGGCAAAGTTGGAAATTGCCCCGTCGAGAGCTCGGTCTCCGTTGGGATACTCAAGACCTGCAGCCACTTCATGCGTGCACCTGGCGAGGAACTGCAAGGGGGGAGGGAGAGGGGGGTGGGGAAGAGGATAGCAAAGCAAGGTGGAATGAGAAACTACACTCAAGGCCCTCTGCTACTTCATCAGTGCACCTGCAAGGGAGAGGGGATGGGGAGGACAACAGCAAAGGAGAGAAGAAAGGAAGGGCCTGCCAAGATCATCCGTCTGTATGGTTACACAAGACCTACTGCTACTTCGTGCATGCGTCACAAGGGAATGAAAGGGGTCACAGAAAGGGAGAGGCGGGGAGAGAAAGTGGAGGAAGGAGAGACACTGGCGGAGAGGAAGGGGAGGAAGGAGATGAAAGACCAACACAGGGGGGCTCTACACACCTGTCCAGGTGTAATGATTATATTTTTTAGTCGACTAGAAAAAAGGAGAGACATGGGCAAAAAGGGGAGACATGGGCAAAAATGGGGAGAGGAAGGGGAGGAAGGAGATGAAAGACCAACATGTGATTCTTGAGTCGACTCAGAAATCACCTATGGCGGCCTCTACACACCTGTTCGGGCATGCCGATCCACATCCACTTGACACTCCCGCTGTAGTCGTGGAACGCGCAGAAGTCGGAGCCAAAGCCGTCCACATCCACGTCCGAGGAGGTGAGGATGACGTAGACAGCGCTGCTTACTCGCGGCAGCGACCCCGACAGGATCTGGAAGTTGATGAGCGAAAGAGGTCCGCTTTTTTCAATGGGGCTTGGCCTGAGCCTGATGAGGCGGTTCCGATATCAATCTCTGTGTTCTGTTCCAGGGAGGGGATGGGGGGGGGGGGTCGGGGGGAGGGGGAGGAGAAGGGAGAAGGAGAATGAGTGATAATGTATAAATGAAGGCATGAACAACCTACACGGTGCAAGACAGAGGGCTGTTAGGGGAGCAATGTACCCTGCGGGAGAGGGTGGGCGTGACGAAGGAGGGAGGAGAGGGAGAGGGAACCGGGTAGTAGGAGCAACGTACACTGCATGAGACAGAGGTTGGGGAATTTAATACGGGAGAGAAACGTACGCTGCGGGAGACGGTGGGCGTGACGAAGGTGGCGCCCGACTTGTAGAGGCAGTTGATGTTCCACCAGTCCTTGACGCTGCCGGGCTTGTTGGCCAGCGTCGCCTCGGAAATGGAGTCTACGAAATTCGTAATTGGGGTCCTCTGCGAGTCTGGCCACGTGCCGTGAAAGATGAGGAACACCTCTAATGGCTGCGACATCACAGGGCCGCCCTTGAATGACACGGACTTGGCCGCGTAGCTGGGGACTGCCCACAAGAAGGGATGGGGGGGTCGGGGGAGCGAAGGTACAGAAGCGAAAGTCAGCGAGGAGGAGACGAGCTGCCAGGAAAAGCGAAAAGGAAACCGGAGGGAAGAGTCAACAAAACTCTTGATCGGGGTCATCTGCGAGTCCGGCCACGTGCCGTGCCAGATGAGGTACACCTCTAGTGGCTGCGACATCACAGGGCCGCCCTTGAATGACACGGACTTGGGTGTGTAGCTGGGGACTGTAAACCGGAATGGGGGAAGGAAGGAGGAAGAGGGGGGGAGAGGATGGGGATAGGGGAGCATGGCTGAGACATCACAGGGATGCTCTTATAGGAGATAGAGTTGGGTGCATAGCTGCGGACCGGGAGGCGGTTGGAAAAGGGATTGAGCAGCGAGTACAGAAGCAGCAGTTAGAAAGATGCAAACGGGCGAGCAATCGAGCATCCTGCCTCGGCCCCACCACCCACCCTTCCCAAAACCAGCCATTTGTCCGACTGCCGGCCCACCACTCACCCTTGCCGCCGTACAGCCTCATGCATCCCCGGGTTGACGCGCTCGGCTTCTTTGTAGGGCTGCCCTTCCCCCCTCTCTACCTTCCTCCCTTCACTCCTAGTCCCCCTTACCAATTCCGCCCCCTTTCACTCCCACCCCACCACTCACCCTTCCTCCCTTCACTCCCAGTCCCCCTTACCCATGCCAACCCCTTTCACTCCCACCCCACAACTCACCCCTGCCGCTATACAGCCTCATGAACCCCCGCGTCGACCCGCCCTTCCCCCCTCCCTAGCTTCCTCCGTTGCAACTCCTTGCCACTCCCTCCCTACCAGCCCACCACTCACCCTTGCCGCTGTATGGCCTCATGAACCCCCGGGTCGACCCGCCTGCCGACTTCTTGGCAGAACTGCCCTTCCAGCCACGCCACCAGCACCACCGGCACTTGCTGCTGCCAATGGTGGTGGTGCCAAGGTTACTGCCGCTGCCCGCGCCTGTTGTACTTCCATTCATGCTGATTGTGTGGGAACCCGCTGCAGCTATTGCATTTGCACTTGTTGCACTTGCTGCGGCTGCCCTTGCGCTGCCCGCGCTTGGTGTACTTGAGCTCGTGCCGGCTGTGTGGGCAGCCGCTGCAGCTATCAGTGTCGTAGGTGCTGCACTTGCTGCTGCTGCCCTTCCGCTGCCCGTGCTTGTTGCGTCGAAAGCCGCAGCAGCAGCAACAGTCGCAGTGTCGGAAGGCGCAGCAGCAGCAGCAACAGTCGCAGTGTCGGAAGGCGCAGCAGCTATTGCTGCGGTCGAATGGTGATTATCTGCGGGGAGTGGGGAGCGGTGAAGGGGGAAGTGATGAAAGGGAATGATGAAAGGGAATGATGAAAGGGAATGATGAAAGGGAATGATGAAAGGGAAAGATGAAAGGGAATGATGAAAGGGAATGATGAAAGGGAATGATGAAAGGGAATGATGAAAGGGAATGATGAAAGGGAATGATGAAAGGGAATGATGAAAGGGAATGATGAAAGGGAAAGATGAAAGGGAAAGATGAAAGGGAAAGATGAAAGGGAATGATGAAAGGGAATGATGAAAGGGAAGGTTGGGAGGGAAAAGGCCAATCATTGGCTGCTCGTGCTGGCTGAGTCAGAAGCCACAGCAGCAGTCGCAGAGGAAGGGTGGATGTGTGAGATGGATGGGAGGGGGAATGGGGGGAGGGAGGGGGGGGGGGGGGGGGGGGGAGGGAAGCGCATGGGGAGGAGCGAGGGGGAAGCGAGGGGGAGAAGCGAGTGTAGAAGCGAAAGAGGATGCAAAGCCATACCGCGAAAGGCGCCGCTATTCCCGCCGTCATCATACCATGCGACGCTCGACACCTCGCTCCGGCCCGGTCACGACGCGGGACATGACAAGCATGTGACACGCGGGACATGACAAGCATGTGTCACGCGGAACTCCTACGAGCGCTCAGGGTAAAGCGGACCCGACGAGCGCTCGACGTGACGCCGACGTACCTCTAAGGCGCGGCGCTGCTCCCCCGGGGAGAGAAATTAACCGCCGTGACTGTACTCGATCTACGAACGACGACGCAGCGAGCGCCAGGAATAGAAGTAACGCTATTCGCCGTGGAGACATGGTTTAGGTTCTCGCCGGCGGGTGAATGATGCTTGCTTGAAGTTCGGCGCCAAGAAAATATTCGAAGTTCTAAGACAAACACTCTCGTTGTTTCCGGTAAACAACGGTTAGTGCGTGTGCGGCGTGCGTAGCGAGAACTACTAGAGGCCACTCTAGTACTTGGCAAACTTTGCCAAGGGTTGTCGCTCGACGACATTGTAACGAGATGATTGTTGAGTCGACTCCAACAGCTGCTCTCGCTAAACGGCAATCGCTCTGGCGGGACCCTCGTGTGGGCTGAATGGCGACGAGCCGACTCGGCTGAGGGAGGTTTAGAGATTCGGGAATCTCCTCCCAGCACGAGGAGACCGAGGAGACGGAGGGTGGGGGGGAGAACCTACTCGTAGCTCGAGGGGACCGAGCGGGACCGAGGGGACCGAGGGGACCGAGGGGGGGAGGCACGAGAGCCATGACTAGGTTTTTTTACACGTCACTGTTGGAACGGACCAGAAATACGGAGGTGCAAAGTAGGTGGAGAGTAGGTACGTCAGCCAAGGAGTAGCCTTGCTACACGAACATGTTTTGTTTCGCAGTATGCTCGGATGACTGGTTTCATATACAGTACCTGTTTTGGCTCCAAACCTCTAAACGGGCCCCAAGTCATCACTCGCACGTGTTGACGGCGAAAGAAAGAATTTTCCCTACTGATTTGACTGCAGAAGCTAAGACCCCCTTATATTGCTGAACGCTATAATTTTGAGGGAACGGAAATGGTTTCGTCTGGCAGGTGTCTGCATGACATTCGAAGTTCGCGATTGCCGACTTTGTAGAAAGGCTGACGTGGATGAGAAAGGCTGACGTGGATGACGTGGATCAGCGCACAATGCGCTGATTCGCGGGGCTGACGTGCTTATGCCCCGTGTCTCTCACCGCTTACCCAACAAGACACGACACAGAGACACGAGAAAGACTCGACACGACTTGGGCGATGCTTTCTACTCGCCAAGCAGATTTTGGTGCGCTTATTAGCTGCTGCGTTTGTCGATCTCGAAACACAAATAAGGACTTCAAGAATGTGCAAAAGGTTGCATATAATGGGATTTCTATGCAAGTGTATGATTCAACTTTGGTAAAGTATCTATATATGTGTCTCTTTATCATGCAATTGAAAAATTCGCTCGATAAGTTACATGAAGCCACACCCGTGTATTTCCGCACATCAATTCGTATACACCAGAAAATGATACTCGGAACACTTCTTGTGGTTACTCAGAACACTCAGCAGTTCATATGCACTGTACTGTATGTAACTGGCAAGTGGGCAAGGCGCACCCACGCTCACCTGCGGTTCCAGATTAACCTGTATTTCCGGCTGGATATCCATCTGCAGTTCTGACTAATCTCACCTGGTCGCAACAAATGTCCAGGACCCCCATAGCCCACCAGCAAAATCGTTTCGCTACACAAAACCTGCTGCCTGTCGAAAACCTGCACAGCAGTACATACCCTAACGCACAGAGCATTCTGACCACCACCTGTACGCGTCGCGACACGGGTTCACATCCGTGTTCGCGCCAGAAGCATGTTCAGAGAGGGCTGAGGAGTTTCATTGGGGTAATCACTCTTCTAATCGCGAATTAAAAGGCTTGGTCCGCTTTTGATTGACCCTCCAAGCTCGCAGACTGGGCTGAGGGTTTTGGTTGTACAAGCAGCGCGAATGTCCCGATTTCGGGGAGTGTGGCAAGGGTGGTGAGGCAAACCTGAATTTGTGAAACTCAGGTGTTTTTCTGACCCTGGACTCTGATCTGCCGAGTTAGGGAAACCTGAAGTGCAGCTTGGCCAATCTGATCTCGTCGTCTTCATCTCCTCTTTCTCCCCCGTCTCCTCACCAGGCTATCAACCCTCCCACCCACGAACACCCATCACCCTCAGCTCCGCCAGAAGAACACAACTGAAGCAGCCACATTGCCTAACAGCATACGCAGGGAAGGTTGGTCAGTGGAAGAAACCCCTATAGGCTAAGCTAGCCGATACAGATACCACGAAAGCAGAGCGAAGTAGCCAGAAGCAAGCTGTGACGAACCACCAAGTGAAGTGCAGAGCGCTAGGCGCACGTGTGCTCGTAGTATCAGTCTAGGCAAGATGGGTCGTCGGCAGACTGGAATTTTCCTGGCGATTGTGGCGCTGGCCGTCACCTTCCTCCTCCTCACACAAGTCGAATCGCGCCCAGAGTTAGGTAAGCGGAGCCTGGCTTAATCTCCGCTCTCGTGGCTGTTATACCAATCCTCCATCGTAACCAGTTTGCCTTCACGTCACCTCTTCCTCCCCGCCCTCCCCGGCTGTGGTTCTAGGTTGCACGAAGGCATAATTGTTTTCCTCGCTCGACCGGCGCGAGCCGCTGACTACAGTTATTTTTTGCCGCCTATCCCCGTCTCTCCGGCCATTCCTTTCTCCAGGACACCTTCCACCCATTCTCGCACTCACAATCCCGTTTCCTTTCATTCCTCCTCTCACCTACGTCCGCGTTCCCCACCTCCCTCGACCTACAGTGAAGCCCAAAAAGGGCGGCAAGAAGGGCGGCAGCAAGAGCAGCAGCAAGGGTGACAAGAAGATCGAAACCGAGAGCGTTTCCACCGCAAGCACGGCGTCGACCAGCGGTACCGCCAAGACGAGCGGCGTCCATGTGCGCATCACCATCGGCAGCGGCGGCTTCGGCAGCGGCGGCAGCAGCGGCGGCAGCAGCGGCGGTGGCAGCGGGGGTTCGCGAGGCGGCGTGCGGTCCAAGTCAACGGGGACGAGTTCGAAGTTCGGGTTCAGCCGGACTTACACCGGCAAGAGTAAGTCCGTCTGCCTCCATCTCGTCGTCGCTTGCGTTAACCGACTCCTCAAGCACTGCTGCTCTCTGGGTATCATGTCCGTGGCTCATGCGGACCTACACCGGCAAGAGTGAGTCCGTCTCCGTCTCGTCGTCGCTTGCGTAAACCGACTCCTCTAGCACTGCTGCTCTCTAGGTATCATGTCCGTGGTTCATGCGGACCTACACCGGCAAGAGTGAGTCCATCTCCGTCTCGTCGTCGCTCCGGTTATCGCACGCTTTCGTTAGCTCGCACGACACCACTTTCCGTTAACGCTCGTTTTCGCTTGCTCGCACGACGCCACTCTCCCTTATCGCGCGCTTTTTCGCTCGCTCGCACGACGCCACTTTCCGTTATCGCGCGCGTTTTCGCTTGCTCGCACGACTCCTCGTTGCGGCTCTCGCCTTCTCGCTTTTCCTGAGCACTTTCCCTGACTCTGTTCCCTTCGCTCTCCAACCTCCCCCCACCTTTTTGCCAGTCCCCAGCTATGCGGCCAAGTCCGTGTCGTTCAAGGGCGGCTCGGTGATGTCGCAGCCGCTGGAGGTGTACCTCATCTGGCACGGCACGTGGCCGGCGTCGCAGAAGACGCCGATCCAGAAGTTTGTGGACTCCATTTCCGAGGCGACGCTGGCCAACAAGCCCGGCAGCGTCAAGGACTGGTGGAACATCAACCGCCTCTACAAGTCCGGCGCCACCTTCGTGACGCCCACCGTCTCCCGCAGCGTAGGTTACTTACTCCCCTAACAAATTCCCCATTCTATGTTTCCCCAACCTACGTTGCGCCCGTAACAGCTGACGCCACTGTATGTTACTCCCGTGAGAGAATCCCCAGTAATTTGCGTGTATGTTTAGATTCCGTTTTTCTCGTTTTGTTGCTTTTTTTTATATATATAAACCCAACAGAACACGGAGATTGACATCGCTGCAGCGTCGTCGGCGTCAGGCCAGGCTCCCCTGAAGAAGGCCGACCTCCTAGCGCTCATCAACTTCCAGATCCTCTCGGGGTCGCTGCCGCGAATCAGCAGCGCCGTCTACGTCATCATCACCTCCTCTGACGTGGATGTGGACGGCTTTGGCACCGATTTCTGCGCGTTCCACGATTACAGCGGGAGCATCAAGTGGATGTGGATCGGCATGCCCGAAAGGGTGAGTGCCATGGCTTCTGTTGGTGTTAGCTCTTGGGTTGCGTTTGGATTCCTCCGTGTCTCCGTTCTTCCCGTGCTGGTTCTTTTCCTTCACTCCACGCCGCTCCGTACCCCGAAAAAAAGAATACTCGTCTTTTTTTTCCCCCGACCAATCTCGCCCGCCTTGCATTTTCCCCTTTACGTCCTAATTATAATTTTCAGTACCTCTCGAGGTGCACGCACGCAGTAGCAGCAGGCCTGGAGTACCCCAACGGCGACCGAATCCTCGACGGAGCGATCTCCAACTTCGCCCACGTTCTTTCCGAGACGGTGGTTAACCCTAAGCCCGCGCTCAGCTGGTCCGACGATGCGGGCAACGAGAATGTCGATCTGTGCTCGGACATCTGGGGCACGGAGTACCTCACTGACGACAGCCCCGCTGTACAGTACAACGCAGTGGGTGTAGACGACTACAAATTCTTCCTGCCTACAATGCTGAACCCCAGCACTGGATTCTGCATGAATGGTCTGTCGGTGCTCCCTGGTGTCTGCGGGAAGGAGCTGTTCAACTACCCATGCGACTCGGGCGGCATCTAAGCAGACTTCCATGCGGCTTATAGAGGGGGGGGGGGGGGAGGCGCCATGTGTATTGTTACGGAGGGGGGGGGGAAAGAGGTGGTATGAGGGGTGACTGTATGGCTGCACTCTCAAGGATGTATTGTGGTGGGAGGGAGGGTGTTTGGCTGAGGGTTGGAGCATGGTAGTAAGTGCTTCCTTTGTTTTATATTTCTTTAATTCTCTGGGGTGTATGGAGCTTTTGGGTTGGGTGAGGCGTGGTTCTTGTGTTGTGGTGTGTGAGCCATTGCCCTTCTCACTTTTCCCGTGCAACCCTTCATAAAGCTGTCGAACGTTATGGGTGGCCACTTCTGATTCAAATGGCTGTCTTGTCTTCAACCTCAATGTTATATTCCTGTTTTGGTTACCGTATGTTGTATGTTTCGGAGCTAGAAAATGTATTCTCAATTGCATGCTTCACAAAGATGTAGGAAATGTCCACACCAGGGCCCTAGATTGGTTTTGAGGCTTCCTGATCCATCAGGATTCTCCCTGTTGAGAAGTCTGAATTTTCAGGGTCCCCTAAAAAAAAATCCAGAGCCATCAGAATTACATCAAAAAAATTTACTGATTTCTCAATCTTTCTGTACGTGTTATAGTTCATGAATTATGTGTGTTCAAGTCTTGGTTGTTGGGGGTGCTGGGAATTCATAGCGAATTTCGCGCGTGTGGGGCGAGATTGGGGGATGGGCAGGAAACGACAATTGGTGGGGGAGAGAGGGGGGACGGGCTGAATAGGGGGGGGAGGTGACGAGATTGCAGGGGCGGAGGGAATCTCTTCCCTCGCAGAGCCCTAGGGCAGACACACATCAAGCAAATTCGGTCAAGGGCCAGCAATTGCCCTCACACACACAGTCCTCAGCATAACACATCGAGGCGAGTACATGGCTAAGGGCCGATGACCTCCCTCACATGTCTCTTGGAAACTTAGGACTCAAGGTTCTTAAACTTAGGAGGCTAGATTGGCTAGGATACTAGGAAGAAGGCCGCCATGGAATGGCGTGAGGAAAACGGATCTAGGAAGGGAGAGGATGGCGAGAAGAAAGGTGTTTGATTAGGAAGAGAGAGGAGTACAAGAAGGGGTTTGTACCCTCTACAGAAAGGTTCAGTAACAACCTACCAAGCCTATATTAAATTATAACTTATATAATTTTAACACACCCCCTAGGCTTGGTAGTCGCACACCCACCCAACCCACCCCCTAACCCCGCACACCCTCAAGCTCGTGCTTAGCCGGGTATCTGACCCTCGTGCAAAGCGTTGACACACCCCCGTACACGAGGCAGCCTACGGCGTCTGGGCGGGTCAGCGTCAAGCAGCAGCGGAGCTCTGGCTCAAGGCGGCTGGGTCACTGACGACAGGCGGCGACTGCCGCGGCTGAGGGCTCTCGGCGGTGTGGCAACGTCCGCGCAGAAGACAGCAGCTGCGACAGGAGGAAGGGAAGACGCAGGGGGAAGGGAGAATACGGGAAAGTGGGGCGAGTCTTCAGTGACGCGCCATAAATGGCGCGGCGCTTACTGGCGGGAGGACGGCGTCCAGAGGGACGCCCGTGGCTGGCGAGCGGGCGGCAGGTCCGGCTGCGTCACAGACGTCGCTCGGCCGGCCGCAGTCCGACGATGCCATCGGCTGCCCTAGACGCCGCCACAGCGCACCGTCAATGCCGCAGCGGCGAGGCGGACGAGCGACGGCTGCACCAAGGGGCTGTCGCGACACCTTGGCGCCGCGACGGCAGGCAACAATGAGCCGTTGCGACATCTTGGTGCCGCGACGGCAGGCAACAAGGGGCCGTCGCGACAGCTTGGTGCCGCGACGGCAGGCAACAATAGGCCGTCGCGACAGCTTGGTGCCACGACGGCAGGCAGAGAGAAAACCGCGAAGGCTGCAAATGCAGCAGGAGTACGCAACGGGAACGTAGGGAGAGGGTCCGGTGGACACGACCGGCTCTGATACCATCTTAGAAACTTAGGACTCAAGGTTCTTAAACTTAGGAGGCTAGGTTGGCTAGGATACTAGGAAGAAGGCCGCCATGGAATGGCGTGAGGAAAACGGATCTAGGAAGGGAGAGGATGGCGAGAAGAAAGGTGTTTGATTAGGAAGAGAGAGGAGTACAAGAAGGGGTTTGTACCCTCTACAGAAAGGTTCAGTAACAACCTACCAAGCCTATATTAAATTATAACTTATATAATTTTAACAATGTCCTCCAACATACAGCGCGGAGATTTTTTTGACCAAGGGCCAATCAGCGCCCTCACACAGCCTCGAGGGGTGGGGGAAGGGGGGGGGGGGTGTCAAACATAACTTATGCAGCTACTGTAGACTATACATGCTTGTGCCTTAGAGGGTACAGCTCACTAGTCTATATTGTCGTGTATCTCACCTTTCTAATTATTATTACATTATGATATGGTATCAGAGTAGGTTAGGTCCTCTTCCTAGCCCGCACACGCTTCCGCCCCTAGGCCCTAGCCCTCGTACGTTCTCGTCCCTAGCTGGCCCCCCCTGGCCGTCGCGCTCGCTTCTAGCCAGCCCCCTGACTGTCGCGTCCGTCCCTAGCTGGCCCCCCCTGACCGTCGTGCCTGCTCCTAGCCGGCCACTTGGCCGTATGCGCCCGTCCCTAGCTGACCCCCCTAGCCGTCGCGGCCGTCTCTAGCTGGCCCCCTGGCCGTCGCGCCCACTCCTAGCTGGCCCCCTGACCGTCGCGATCGCTCCTAGCCGGCCCCCTGACCGTCGCGCCCGTCCCTAGCCGACCCCTGACCGTTCGCGCCCGCCCCTAGCTGGCCCCCTGGCTGTCGCGCTCGCCCTTAGCCGGCCCCCTAGCAATCGCGCCCATCTCTAGCTGGCCCCCTGGCCGTCGCGCCCGCTCCTAGCCGGCCCCCTGCCCGTCGCGATCGCTCCTAGCCGGCCCCCTGCCCGTCGCGATCGCTCCTAGCCGGCCCCCTGCCCGTCGCGATCGCTCCTAGCCGGCCCCCTGACCGTCGCGCCCGTCCCTAGCTGACCCCTGACCGTTCGCGCCCGCCCCTAGCTGGCCCCCTGGCTGTCGCGTTCGCCCTTAGCCGGCCCCCTAGCCGTCGCGCCCGTCTCTAGCTGGCCCCCTGGCCATCGCGCCCGCTCCTAGCCAGCCCCCTGACCGTCGCGATCGCTCCTAGCCGCCCCCCTGACCGTCGCGCTCGCCCATAGCCGGCCCCCTGGCTGTTCGCGCCCGTCCCTAGCCGGCCCCTTGGCCGTTCGCGCCCGTCCCTAGCCGGCCCCCTGGCCGTCGAGCCCCTCCTAGCCGGCGCCCTGGCCGTTTCGCGCCCGCTCCTCGCAGGCCCCCTGGCCGTTTGAGCCCGCCCCTAGCCGTCGCGGCCGCTTCCCGCCGTCCCTCGGCCGCCCCTAGTCGTCCCGGCCGCCCCTCGCCGTCGCAGCCGCCCCTAGCCGCCGCCGCTACCGTCTCCAGCCGCCTCACGGTTGCTCCTGCCGTCGCGGCCGCCCCTAGCTGCCGCCGCGGCTGTCCCAGGCCGCCGTCGTGGCTGCCCCTGGCCACCGTCGCAGCCGTGTCTACTTGCCGCCGGCCTGCCGGCCCCTGCATTCGCGCCGTCGCCGGCCTGCCGCTGCCTCGGGTTCGGCCCGTTCTTCCCGATCAGCACCGCCCTTCGACCCCCCCCCCCCCCCCGCCGTACCGTATTGCATCACTTTGCACCGCACTGCACCGCTTTGTACCGCACTGAACCGCTTTGCACCGCATTGCACTGCACCGCACTGTACCGCACTACACCGTACTGCACGGCACTGCACCGCACTGCACCGCACTGTCCTACTCTACACTGCCCTCTATTGTCACTGATGGTGGCGGTGCTTTGCTTTGACGCTGAGGGCCAACCGATTGAGTTTGATGCGTGGCTTGCTGACCTCCGTCGCCATCTCATTGGTCAGCGGCAGGATGGCCACTTGCTGTCTGTCCAACTTGATGGTACCCTCCCCTGCCCTGACCCCCCCGCTGCACTGTCTCAAGACCCCTTGTCCGCTGAGCGTGAGTCCGCTGCAGCTGCTGCCCTTGCTCGCTCTTTCTGGCTGTCGCGTGACGCTGTTGCACAGCTTGCTATTACCAATGCCCTCCCCCCGTCCGAGCGACCTCGCTTTAGGTCTATCACCACTGCCCAGGCTTTCCTAGATGCTGTTGTCCAGCGCTATTCCACCGCGCCTGCTGCCTCGGTCGGTCGTCTGATCCTCCCCATGCTCTTTCCTGACCTTGCGTAGTTCCCCACTGCCGCCGACCTGGCCGCTCACCTGCGCACCATAGACGAGACCTGGCGTGCTGCCTGCACCCCCACACAGCTTTTAGCCCACCAGCCGCTCCTCACCTCTACTCTCTACCTGCTAGCCACCCGCCTCCCTGACCGTCTTGCCACTGCCCGTGACTGCTTTCTTAGCGTCCACCTCGCAGACCTCACCCTCACTGACTTTGTTGACACCCTGTCCCGCTATAGAGGCCCGCCACCGCAATATCGCTCAAACCAGCGGTACAGTGCCGGTCCCTATCTTTCAGGGTTGTGCCCCCGCTCAGTGCACCTTCTCCGACGGTCCTGCTGCTGTGGCTGAGACTGCCGCTGCAGCACAGGTTCGTCCGGGGAAGGGTCGCCGCCCCAAGGCTGGACGTGGCGACGGGGATGGGGGCGCGGGTGTAGGTGGTGCTGGAGTTGGGTCACCTAGTGGTGGTGCTGACGCGGGGACCCTGATAGGTGCAGCCGAGCAGCCGTCTCAGTAGTCGTCAGTGTTGCAGCCGGACCCGCGCCAGCCGCAACAGCCGCAGCCGCCGCAGCTGCAGCCGTCGCCGCAGCCGCAGCATGAGCTGAGGCGGACGAGTCGTCTTCCACCTGGGTGGCCCGGCGTTGGTGGCAGCGCTGGACATGGTGGTGGTGCGCGTGGTGGGCTGCCGAGTGGTGGTTCGGGTGCCGCGCGCTGTCAGTACCTGCTTCAGTCCGGTCCTCGCCGTGGCTTCGTTTGCGGTAAGATCGGTCATACCTCCGTCCGCTGTTTCCGTCACCTGGACGGCCTGTTTCGTCAGCGTTTCGGCCCGTCGCCCGAGCTCCCAGATTGGCACAGCTTGCTTAGTCGTAGGGTCCAGATTTTTTATCTGGACATGGATGAGATTGTTGCTGCTCTGCATGTGATGTATGCTAATAACTCTAGTGTGATTCCGTCTTATTATCCCTTATTGCCTAGTGTAGGTGTGCCTTCCTTAGTCTCCCCTGCTGCGTCAGGCATAGGATCCCCTGCTTTGTTTAGCCTTGGTGCTTCCGTCGCTACTTCGCCTCCGGCCGCCACAACCGCACTCTCCTTCACCCTTGACTCTGGCACTTCACGGTGCTTCTTCCGCGACTCCACCACGTTGACACCACTTCCTGTCCCTGCCGCCGTCTCCCTGGCTG